AAGCCGGCATTATTATAAATTAAACGGCGCCTCGACGAAATTAATCAGTCGAGCGACGTCACTCGCATCGAAAAACAATGCCTATCAACAAATTTGGATTATTCGAACGGAGAAACGAAGAAATCAGCACGAGCGATCATTGAGGTAAATTGGTGACGAGTTACTTGCGTCAAAACGCTCTGTGTCGCGTCGCAACGGATTATGACGCGAGGTCGCGCAAGATTCGCCGTGTAGCGCAACCTGAGGCTGATACCGATGCGGTCAACAAACTGTACGTGGAAGAATACGTTAAAACGTTGAAAAATCAACGGAAAGAATCAGACGAGAAGCTGACTGCGTTCGAGAAGGACCTGCGAGCTTTGCAGGCTGCGATAAACGAGCTTCGTCGTACGATTAACGCTAATTCAGAAACGGCTGTCAACCTGTAATGTGCTGTAGTGAACAGTTTAGGAGCGGCTGTTGTACACTTATGAAACATCTAGAAAGGTTTACCGAACGGCTACGAACGATTATCCGACGATTATCGAGCTATAATGAGTGGCAGTGGTCGAAGAGGAAACGGTCTCGAACGAGACTACGAACGATTCAAGAACAACTGCGAATGAGGCTACGAGCATCTCAAGGACAGCTGCGAACAAGGCTATGAACACGTCAGGAACGGCTACATACGAGGCGATATACAAGTCCACAACGGCTACGAACAAGTCAAAAACGATTGTCAACGAGGCTACGAACAGGTCAGAAACGATTGCGAACGAGGCTACGGACTGCTTAAAAACGACTATCAACAGGGTCAATCGTGACAACAAAGGGATCAAGAACGGCAGTGAACGGTAATTGAACGGTTATTGAACGGCTACGAACGGCTATTGAACGGCAATTGAACGGCAGTGAATGGCTAAGGAACGGCAATTGAACGGCTACTGAACGGCTATTGAACCCCTACGGACGGCTATTGAACGGTTAATTCGATCGACGAATCGAAATAACGATGAGCTGACGATCGGGAATAACCAGGGAAGCGAAGAAACAACATAGTTTAGAGAAACGGCAGTTGGTGAACGAACTGCACGCACCGGCGAGAAAAAATTTCCCCCGAAGACACGTAATAGTGCGGGGATACGATGATCTGTGGCAAGCCGACATTGTCGAGATGCGTCCGTACTCTCGTTTCAACAGAGGTTACAACTACAAACTCACAATAATCGATGCGTTGAGCAAGCACGCGTGGGCCGTACCGCTCAAGAGTAAAGGCGGAAGCGAGACAGCTGACGCTATCGCCGAGATAATTCGAGATAGCGAGAGGTGTCCGAAAAACATACAGACCGACATGGGGAAGGAATTTTATAACGCCGACGTGCAACGGCTCATGCAAAAACACAGCATAAATCATTATTCTACGTATTCGGTATTGAAGGCATCGATCGTCGAGCGATTCAATCGTACGCTAAAAGAGGCCATGTGGAAGATGTTTACGCTGAACGGATCTTACAAGTGGGTTAACGTGTTGCCGGGACTCGTATCGGATTACAACGCGCGCAAGCATCGAACGATCAGTATGCGACCCGTCGACGTTATCCCCGCGATCGCCGAGAGACTCTTGGCTACTGTATACAACCGTGTAAATATCGCGGGTCCGGCGAAATTCAAAGTAGGTGACTCGGTACGCGTTAGCAAGTACAAGACAGTTTTCGAGAAGGGTTACACGCCAAATTGGACAACCGAGGTGTTTAAAATTGTAAAAGTGCAGCATACTAATCCCGTGAGTTATCTACTCGAGGATTATCGCAAAAAACCTATCGCTGGAGCGTTCTACGAGCACGAGTTGCATCGCGCGAATTATCCCGACGTGTATCTCGTGGAGAAAGTACTGCGCAGGAGAGGTGACGAAGTTTACGTGAAATGGCTAGGATTTGACAATTCGCACAACTCTTGGATACATAAGGACAATATGATTTAATTTATATACAGTGTTTATTAATATTTCTTTCAATAATACTATATATATATACAGGGTATCCCATTTTAATCCATCCAGTCGAATATCTCGAAAACCAAACCCAGGAGAGAAAGATGTTTCAGACAAAAGTTGTTTGGTTTCGAAGGAGCCATAAGATGGTACCATTGGTTTGATCTTGAAGAGTCATTTGAAGGTCACATGAAGGTCAACTCAATTTTTTTAAATGGCACCCCCTATTTTTTATTACATATTCTTGTAGCTGACCTCGAAAACTTTCCAAAACGCTATAATAAAATATTTTTTTATAGAATATTTTTCGAGTTATGAGGCTTGAAATCATTTCTTAATTTTACATAAACCGTAATATATCTAGTAAAATATTCATTTTTCGATTATCTTGCCTTAATACTTTTATGCACAAAATAATGTGAGAAATCGATTGGTGTAAAGAAAACACATAGTTATTTTTAAGAAAAAATATGTAATTTGCAATTAACAATTACATATTTTTTCTTTAAAACAACTATGTGTTTTTTTTTACACCAATTGATTTCTCTCATTATTTTGTACATAAAAGTATTAAGGCAAGATAATCGAAAAATGAATATTTTACTAGATATATTACGGTTTATGTAAAATTAAGAAATGATTTCAAGCCTCATAACTCGAAAAATATTCTATAAAAAAATATTTTATTATAGCGTTTTGGAAAGTTTTCGAGGTCAGCTACAAGAATATGTAATAAAAAATAGGGGGTGCCATTTAAAAAGATTGAGGTGACCTTCACGTGACCTTCAAATGACTCTTCAAAGTCAAACCAATGGTACCATCTTATGGCCCCCTCGAAACCAAACAACTTTTGTCTGAAACATTTTTCTCTCCCGGGCTTGGTTTTAGAGATATTCGACTGGATGGATTAAAATGGGACACCCTGTATATTCTTAATATAAGTATGTAAGATATGCGTTACATAAAATATAAATGTGTAAGATGTGTATTATATAAAACTACATGAAATACAAAATATATACAATAATAAATAAAATATATACATGTATTTACAAAGGTATCCTATAATGTCCCCATGGTAACGTGTCAGTCGAATCAGGTACGATATATCGCTTGTCATCGTACGGACTCAGAGCAATTTTCGTCTCGCGGACGGCATACACTTTGTGCAATCTCGATCTTATACACGACTGCTGTCGCGTCATTTCGATCTCTTCGTTTAAACACCGCGTGTAATCTTCGAAAGTTATATTACGCGCTACGACATTACTTTTGACGCCTTTAACTTTCTTCGTGTCTTTCTTTCCGTCCACTCGTAACGCGTACATCTTTGCCCTGAGCCCGATGAATTCGGTCATTATTGCACCGTTATTTTCATCCTTCATCAGACCCGGTACTTTTTTATTTACAAGCGGTATATCGTACGCATTGTCCATCGCATAATCGCTCGTGTCAAATCTGGCGATATCGCGCTTCATGTTCACACAGACATCCGCGCACTCAATGTGATATACGAGACTGTCCGTATCGGTGTACATGATCTTACATTTGTCGCGATACAGAGGAAATATGTACTCGTGATGAAATTCGTACAGACACGTCTTGGATATGTCGAGTATGCACATACCCACGTAAATCGGTTTGTAAAATTTCACCTCGAGTTTACGCAATTCTACCGCAATCAGATTTTCCGAAAAAACGCTTCTGCTGTGGAAATTCGGTTTCGCGATCATCGCTTCCGCGCCGTATCGTCCGTCCCATTTTGTTAATAATTTTACATCGACACGATTCCGCACATTTTCCATCGTTTTACCAAACTCAGCATTATTCATTAATTTGTATAAATTTTTCTCGAAATCATTTTTCGCGAGTGTTCCGAAATGTGTATTTAATTCTATGTAATTTCGAAGCCACGGAGATTGAGAAAACTGTAAAATTCTATGTATTTTTGTCACACGAAGACCGTGATGCGTACACTGCTGTAGGTTACGGTAGTATATCACGTAACGCTTCTTATCGTATAACGTTGCGAGCAGTTTGAATTCCCGCTTACCGGGCGGCTTGTCGCGCGTCGGGCAAAACGGTAGGTCGGTGTGGGTATCGTGAAGATGTTGCGGGTACTCGAGATCGACTTCGAGGATATACCCCGTGGGCGAATCTAACGCTATAGATGATACGTCAAAATTCGACGCGTCGTCGACCCATCGAAAATCGGCGTAAGGCAACGGTTGACACATTGCCCATCCGTATAAATTATTAACGTCAAAATACATCAAGTACGACGATGATTTCGATGGATCGTACGATTGTCGCATGTACTTGTTATTAGCGCGCGCGTATCTGTTGGAACATTGGCTCAGACCACCACGTTGTGACGTGACGCTTTTTGAGCTCCGTCACGGGTTCCCTGCCGAGGAAAACAGCGTGCGCGGGGTCGTCTCTCGCGCCTGAGAGGAGACTACCGTTGTTTATTGTTCAATTGTTTAGCCCTATCTTTAGCGAAATTTAAGACCCGCGACTCGAATACGGCTACCGTGCGTGCGTGCAAGATCGACAAGTTGTAAAGCAAGCTACCGCTAGATATCGAGGATACCGAAGATACCGAGGATACCGAGGATACCGAGGATACCGCAGTAATAAGGTCAAGTAGTAAGATCCCGCGCCACCGCGCTTTATAATGTAATAGGAGATTGAATCTGCATTATTTCAGATTGTAAAAGAAACGGCAAACAATTCCGACGACGGTGATGAAGGCAACTATCCAGGCAGCTGACTGGGAAAAACGGAAACCTCGGAAGGAGACGCGGAGACGGCCTGGCCAGCCGGCCGTGTCCCCGAGGATCGGCATCCCGAATTACCGTCGTTCACAAGTACTGGGCCCCTGTGCAAGGGCAACGCCGTACAACAGCAGCAACGTTCGAGGGGGCGGAGAATCAACCCCGTTTCCCCGAAATCGACAAGATGTGCGGAGGATCGGCGCGGGATTCGAGGGCCTTACAAGCACAGACGAAGATCGTCACTGTACGGCGAACTAGTGACCTGTGCACAACAACCAGGATCTAGAAGAGACGACCCTGAGGGAGCAGCCACCGGAATAAAAGTGTAAGCCGTCGCACAGGTAGCCGGTTAGAAATTTCCATCCGGGATCAGCTGGTGCCATCGTGCCGAGATACCGTCGCAGGGCGGCTATCATATCGTAGTAAGGATTACCGTTTGATATTTGTACCGTAGTTGTCGGACGCCAGCTGTCCCCGGAGTCGCGGATTTGTCCCTCTCAGGGGTGCTCGTGCCGTCAGTCCGTGGTTTCATGTAACGTTTCCGTGTAAAATTGTATCGTTCCCGTTGACGTTTTTGTTGTATCGATACTCCGGGCGTGACGCGGAAATTTTTGATCGAGTATATCGCATACCGGAAAGCGGGATTTGAGCGGGTAATTTCTTCGCGAGCGTGTGTTACCGGAATTAAGAGAACGGCTCTGCAGGAATATTGTTCTACGCGAAATCTCCGCCGAAAAGTATTTAACGTACCGCTTGTTCGAAATTTCCGTTACGCGGACGTCGTGCTATTGTTAACGAAACGAAAGGTCGTGCTGCGACCGTTACATCGGGTAAACAATTTCCGTCTATCTCCTTGAAACTACCGTTAGAGAAAGCTTTTGTTTCTTTATCAAGACTTTGTCGACAGTCACCGTTAATTGCCGTAAGAAAAGGTTCGATTCGAGTTATATCGAACTTTATTAAAATCCGTATACCGTCTATTTCGGGTTAAAATTCCGCTTATTTCGTCGTTATCTATTGTTCTTTACCGTTAATTGTCGTTGAGCGTAGAAGTTACCGTCACCATTGTGTGAAAATTCAGGTTCGATTTATATCGATATTGAGCACGAGGCTCGCGCCTCCAAGGGTGTTCGTAAACCGTCCGCGTATAATCGTCTGTTCGTAAAATCCCCGTACACTCTGGTTACCGTTAATTACGTGGATTACCGCCAATAAACTAGTCGAGAATTGTACCGAAATTTGTTAGCGAGACGAACGTCTCGGCGTGTGAGCCGAAATCAGACGTAATTCGTCCTCGAGTTGGGTAAAGATTTCGCCGCTAATGTTCTCGGCCTTCGATTACCGTCATTATTGAAAGACTAAAACTATTCTAATACCGTTTTTTCCTTGTCTTTTTTTTTTTTTTATTTCCGACTCAAAGTCAGTATTTCAAGTAACCTCTCTGAGATTATTGTATCTGACCTGCGCATCAGTCGTTATAATGTGTCCATTGTTTCCGCGGTTTATAAGATAACCGTTATATTTCAAAATTAATCTGCTTTCTTGTATTATTTTATCTTGTGCCTTGCGTTCTTGTATATTTACCGGTATATTTACCGAGTTTATCGCTATTATATTGAATTTATCGCTCTGATATCAAATTTACCGTTATTATATTAACTTTATCGTTATTATATTAAATTTTATCTATATTATATTAAGGTCGATTATACTGTTCATGGTGTGTGTATTTTAACATTTCAATATATGTAATTAATTGTGATCAACTAACTGAGTAATCATTTCTCTCTCCTAACGATATTCTAGCGCTCTCTTTCCCGTACGATAAATACTTCGCAAAGAACTCTGCCCCTCTGCCATAAACTGAGCTTGCCGTTACCGTTTCGATATCGTGCGGAAATACCGCGCCTGGCGCCCATATTCTATCTCCTTTTTGTTGGAGAGTCTGTTACCGTATTTTACCGCCATTTTAAGATACAGTTACCGCCATTTTAAGATCCCGATACCGCCAATTACCGACACCGCCAGATTTGCACGCTACCTCCTCGGGAGCGGCGTTCCCGAGGCGGGCGACGGCGTCGCAACGTATACCGCGTTCTATAAACATGACCATGTCGATATCTGTAAGCAACTCGAACGTGATCTTTGTATGCTTTAACATGGCGTCCCACGTGTATCCGGGGAGAGTATAGTAATACGCGGGGTCGAGTCCGTAACTTTTGATGCAGCTATCGCGAAAATTTTCGAAAATATCTGCTAATAACAATACGTTGATTTTGAGATACATGTCGCTATATTCGCCCAGCGTTCGAGCGTGGAGAATCGCGTCCAGATGTTCTCGGCGTGCGCGTAATCGCTTTCGGATATAGTTTCACCGGTCAAGGAACTGTAAAACGATTCGCGCGGTGATAAACGCGTATCTCGTAACCTATCTACCGAGTCGACGTATTCGTATGGAAAGACGCCTTTCCGTGTTAATAAACTGAAATTTTCCGCGGATAAATTTTCAAATTTCGATTTTAAAATTTTGAGCTTATCTCTGTCTAGATAAGATGCTAATTTGTCGAGACTCGATGTAAGAAATTTGTACGAATCGATGAAGCGTAATTTTACATTATTTTTCCAATCGCCTTCCTTAAGTCCTTAAGCCTCCTAAGGTCGACATTTTTTGTAAAAGAAATATCTCTTTCGTTATCGGAAGTAACTCGACGCTCCCTTCGAATGCTGTGGCTATTTCCTCGATAATAAAGTGTGAATCATAACCGGATAAATTGTGGAAAACTATCGGAATACAAAAAGATTCTTTGTAATTTAAATTGCAATTTGAATGCGCGGGACCTCTGTACCGCCCGGTCAGATGACAATGATCGCGAACGCGTGTATCGTCTTGCGCGAACGGCTTTTCGCATATATGGTATTGAGTGGCGTTGTGAAATTTTTCACACTCTTCGGACGTTAAATTAACCATGGGGACATTGGTCGTTAAAATATTCTTAACGCGAATCGCTAAATTTTTAAGATCTTCGACGAACCACGCTATACAATCGACGCTACGACGCGAATGATACGCCGATAAAGATTCATCGTACGAACAATGCATATAATACGCTATACTAAATACCCGATGATGCTGGTACAATTTTTGTTGTTGTTCTTCTTCCGTTTTGGTCAGAACGCATTCCAGATCGGCGTACACGACGAATGGAAACCGTTCTTTCCTGTTGTAATTGTTGAACTCGAGCCACTTGTCCTTGTCGCTCGGCAACCGGATAGCGCAGTCATTCATCTCCCCGCAGTCGACCGTATGCGACTGCAACTTGTCATCTGAACTAAAATAATGCAGGCATCCGTAAAAGAAAAATTTTTTAATTAAAATTAAAACAATTTGTTATATAAATTATAATTATTTTATATTAATATATACATACCGATCGCAGATATATCTTTGACCGTTGTGTTTGCTCAGTTGCGAGCTCACGAGCCTGAATAAATTTTTTATCCACGCGAAATGTCCGACACTGTTGCCGTCTTCCACGTATAGCAGATTCACGTGCTTATCTCGCTTCTGCTCCGAAAGACGTATCGGGACGATACTGTTCTTGTCTTCGATGCCGTACACGTTGATCGAGATATTGTTCGCGAGTTCAAATTTTTTAATTTGATTTAAAGTTACTGGAAACTCAATGTCCCGGAGATTCAGCACTGTCGCGTAAGGTGGATACGATGATTCTCGTTCCGCGTTCCTTTCTGCGGGATATAGAGCGGCGACCACTGCCCACGCGAAACACGCATTGTCCTTAGACTGTACGTTAACCACCGCTCTTTTCATCATAATCTCCCGCGACAATTTAATGTGGCATCCCGTGCGCATTGGATTATATTTATTTACATTAACAGTCAAATTCTGTATTCGCGACAATGCCCAGCCGCTATCGTGTTCCTGAAACTCTTCCAGAGACGCTAAAGTGGGCTCGATAACGCGGCGCTCGAACCACTCGCGTAAATCCGATGTGCGAAAGAGTTCACAGTTTCTCGTATTTATACTTTTATTCGCGCGCTTATCACCCGACACAAATTCACCGTTGAATATAGTATTTACTTTTACACTGTTGTGTCTTTTTAGAACGTTTTGCACTTGCTCGAGCACGATGTCTTCGGCATCCTCGAGAAATTGACGAGGTTCGATATAGTTTGCGTTAATCACGGCACCAGTCAGAATACGGCTGTCGAACGCCGTATCGATCTCTCGCCAAACGAGTCTTTCCGCGTTATTGTCACCGCTGTAATCACCACCACTGGGAATAAACCGTCTTTGCAATCGAGTCTTCGCACTTTCTAGTCGCGCGATTTTAGTCACCAGAGATTGTCTATTTCCGATCGAGAGCCGCGGACGCTTGACACGACTGCGTTCTTCGAGCTCTTTGATCAATTCCTCGCAACGCTGCAGCCACGCGAAATACTCGCCCAAGGTGGCAATCCCTCGGCGAGATCCCTCCACCAGATCGCGTTCGGTCGGCTCGATGTTTTCCATTTTCCTATCTTTTTCGCATTCACACTTTTAAAACACTATGTCACAGTTTTCTACGGATGACTTTTGCACGCGATAAACAATACCGTTCGCTATCTTGAACGTGAAATAGGCGCAAAAATCTTTCTAACGGGACACCGCTATACTTTTTTTTTTACTGCCGACGCGTCGATGGGCGTTCAAATCACATACTATGATGATTTGATGCGCTTCAATCATTCTTATATATGAAGGAGAAAACAAAGCAGCCAAACATCGGCGCTGATACGTTAAAAATTCTTCCGATAAAAAAATCGTAAAAGATGATTCTAGGAAGTGCCGTTTATATTGTTTATAAATTTATGTGCTGTGTAATTCAATGAGAGAGATAAGGATACGTCGAACGAAAAAATCTAGAATTACTTATATCGGAGGTGAGGGGTGTACCGCGAAAGCGCTGATATACGAGCGGTGGAAGCAAGGGTACAAAGCAGCCAAACGTCGGTGCTGATACGTTAAAAATTCTTCCGAGAAAAAATCGTGAATGACGATTCTGAGGTACTATTTGTTAATATTATTTATCAACCGGGCATGCGACACAATATTGTTTATACTTTCGATAAATATATGGGACCGCGCGTACTTTTTACGAGGCGTTTACGACGATATGGCGATAATGTCACATCTCTATTATACGATCTCGTTTCGAGATCTCGCTGCCTTGTCAGAAAGAGTTTGGCAGTGTGCGAGTCGAGAAATCGAAAGTGAAGAAGTGAATATTTTTTTTCATCGTTCTTGTGTATTTTATAAAATGGCCGAAGAAAATATCATTATCATTAATGATGACGATGATAATGTTATGATCATCGATGATGACGATGTGATGATCATCGAAAATAATAATGTGAGGATCATTGAAAATGATAATGTAATGAATATTGATGAAGATGACGAAGATGACGAAGATGACGCCGATATCGAAGTAGAACCCTTTGCGGACAGCGATTACGAGAGTGTCAATAATGATGACAGTGATGAACTATTACAAATAAAAGAACGAAATTTAGACTTACCGAGAATATTGACGATGAACGATACAATAAAAATATGTTGTATTATGTGGAATGTGGACATATCGTTCTATTATGTGGAATGTGGACTGAAATATTGTGCGGAATGCTTCCTGGAACTATCGTTTTTATTTCTAGAAGCTAGTGCTGTACGGGAACATCGCTGCATATATTATCAACATTTAAGCAATATGTCTTGCAAAGAGTGCAGAAGATCTTTGAATCAAATACTGCCGTGCGACATGTGCCCCATGTGCACACATTAAAACATTGTAAGTACTATTTTTTAAATCTTAACTCTCTCTAACTACGCTTGTATTAATTCAATATCTTTTTTCTGTTACAGGAGCAACCATCCCCCAGACCCGGCGACCCCCCCTTCCCCTCTTCCACCAAATATATTATATTTTTTTATATTTTTATATTTTAAAATTTTATTAGAATTTTAATTTTAAATACACACACACACACAAATGTATAATACACACATTTTATTAAATTTTATATTTTTTTAATTGGAAAAAAAATATGATTATTTACAGACCTCTTCTTGCGTTCCCACCCCTGCGCTAGTTATAAGTATCGTTCTCTCTCATGCGTTAATCTTAAGTCTCTCTCTCGCACGCGTTGTTCTCGCGCCATCACCTCCTCTCTCAAGCGTCGTCTTTCAAGCGTTGCCTTTCAAGCATTGTCTTTCAAAAGAAAGCTGCTGTTTTTTTTTATAGTGCAGTTGTTTGTAGACTCAATTCTTTTGTTTTTACGATGCGTTTTGGAGATGGCTGCATATGGTGTCTCTGCTACGACTTCGGACCGAGATCTCGTCATATAGTTCAGAACTGTGAACGTGAGTTCATCGCTCCACGTTATATGTATACCATAAAACGGTGAAAGAGTTTTTGATAAAACGGTGAAAGAGTTTTTGATAAAATGTATCAACACCTTACGTGGTTTAAATTGTGGAAGAATAGCTTTATTAAGTTATTCTTTAGTGTAATTTTAAAAATTACATTTGATTGGCGTTTGGAGGTAAGTAGCGTTTGCATGTACGTGTGATTTTTTAAATTAGATTATTAAAATAATTATTTATTATTTATTATTTAGTTTCAGAGAGAAGTTGAACTTCCAGGATTCATAAACATACAGCGTGTGTCAAAAGTTCCGGGACGGCTGGATAATTTGAAAAATACACACTTTTTAAGAAAAAATATGGAATTGTTAATTGCAAATTACATATTTTTTCTTAGAAACAACTATGTGTTTTCTTTACACCAATTGATTCCTCTCATTATTTTGTACATAAAAGTATGAAGGTAAGATAATCGAAAAATGAATGGTTTACTAGATATTTTATGGTTTATGTAAAATTAAGAAATTATTTCAAGCCTTATAACTCAAAAAGTACTTAATAAAAAGATACTTAATTATAGTGTTTTGGAAAGCTCTCGAGATAAGCTACAAGAATATGCAATGAAAAATAGGGGGTTCCATTTAAGAAATTGAAGGTAATCTTTATGTGACCTTCAAATGACTATCCAAGGTCAAATCTAAGGTCACCGTCGGATTGCCCAGGAAAAATCCTACAACTTTTGTCCAGGTCATTTTCCTCTGTGATGCGTATTTTTCAAATTATCCAGCCGTCCCGGAACTTTTGACACACGCTGTATATCATAGACAGTGGGTGCGGATGATACGTCGAGCTCGACGGGAAGATATTTTAGATATATGGGGCGACACTCCGGACAGTCGCCATCGTCAGGTCGAAGATGTCTTCGATCTGCGGCGGCTTTTCGGGGAAGAGCCCTATCTGAAAATCATCCACGAAGAAGAGTGGATCCTAGGTGGAAACGTGTGGATGCCACAGGACGATTTGATGGCTCTAGCAGGTTAATGTAAGTACTATTTTTATATTAAATAAATTATTAAATGTTTTATTAAAAACTAATAAAATGTATATCTTTTTTTTTGTTGCAGGTGCGGCCTCTCTCAGCTCGGCGCATTCCCCTCCCCATATATTTTGTATTATTTCTTATTTCATATTTTTTATATTTTTTATATTTTTTATTTTCTTTTTATCATTACTTTTTATTCTTAAATTTAAGTATACATACATACACACACACACACACACACATAAAAATGTATAAACACACATACACATTTTTAATAAATTTTATACATTCATTTAAAAAAAAAATATTTATTTACATTATCTCCCTCGCACGCGTTCCCTCTCTCTCGCGCCATCGTTCCCTCTCCCTCGCACGCGTTCTTCTCGCGCCATCGCTCCCTCTCCCTCGCACGCGTTCTTCTCGACCTTTCGAATCTCTATTCAGCCTACTGTCCTATCCCAAATCACCCTGCCCTCTTGACCTAGTTTTTTTTGCGTTACTTTTGTTAGTCCGGTTGATAGAAAAAAGGATTTAAGTTTCCTTTCCTTTTTTTTCTTTTTCTTTTTTTCTTTCTTTTCTTTCTTTCTTTTTTTTGTTTTTTGTTTTAAGTCTCTCTCTCTCTCTCTCGCACGCGTTCTCATCTGGAAATCATCCATGACGAAGAGTGGATCCTAGGTGGAAACGTGTGGATGCCACAGAACGATTTGATGGCTCTAGCAGGTTAATGTAAGTACTATTTTTATATTAAATAAATTATTAACGCCCGTTTCCTCCAACGTGGTTCAAAATTTGAACCTAGTTTAATCTGTGATCAACGGCATTTTACGTTCCATCAATTTTTTAGTAAAAGTTCAAATCAATTAAACTGCGTTCATCGTAAACGCCCATTTTTGGCCGGTTAACGAGTTTGAACGACGTTTAAGCAGAAGAAATTACGAAACGTCAGTATTTCAGGTTATATTTTGTACTTGATACTAGTGTACACAAAATTTTATGTATAAATTGTTAATATTTTAGTATGGCGTATTATAATATTTTATCATCATCCGATGATGAAGATATTATAAGACATATCGACAGAAAGCCCAGAAGATTTAAATTACGTATGAATTATTTTGATGATCTGGATGACATTGAATTTAAAATGAGATTTCGTCTAAACAAAAATTGTGTTTTATTAGTATTAAATAACATAGAAGAAGAATTAACATTTCGATCCAATAGGTATGTATATTTTTTATTATAATTATCTTTATGCCATATATATATATTTATTAGAAACTGATTAATAATATTTATTTTTACAGAAATAATCCTATAACTCCAATGCAACAATTTCTCTTAACACTCAGATTTTTTGCAACAGGATCTTTTATAATATCTGCAGGTGATTTCGCTGGGGTCA